TGGCATTGGGCCATTCGTTGCCAAGTTCTCCGAAATGGAGAGCAGAGATTTGATCCCCTCAAAGCAGGAACCGCCGTACTATGAGGCAAAGGCCTGGCGTACGACGGAGGAAGAGATTGGTAGGATGAAACATTTGTTTCCTCTCTTCCGTGCCGAAAACTATCGGCGAATGGCTGAGGGGAGTGTTCCGACTGGTGCCAAAGCGCATGAGTCCGGTCTTCTCCCGATTGGTGCGTCGCTTGAAGACGCGGCAATGGTAAAACCCGCCGTATGTCCAATTGCAAGCACTTACAATTTTACCTATGAAGGTGAGGAGGTCCTGCTGGACCCCTCGAGCAGGACATTTGGCAGAATCGCCTGTCCTGCTGAGAAATGGTATCTTCGGATTTTTCCCCGAGATCGCTGACCCAGCCGTGGTCACTGGACGATGCTCCAGAGAGGCATATATGCTTCTAGAGGTTTTGTCAGGCTCCACGGACCCAGATTTGGTAAGTGTCAAGCCTGGTGATCCGTCTTTCCGCTTGTGCGGGACGGTTCCCGACATACTTGGAGGTTGGATGTCAATGCCACTAATCTCCATGCTTTTTGAAGCCCTACACGGGATTGTCAAGTGCACAGGCCTTGACGTGGCAAAGTGGGCGGGTGCTCTCGCACGGGAGCACCCTGCTTACTTTCCAGTGGAGCTCCTAATACGGAGAGTTTCGAAATTGCGTTCGTATTTCCATCCGTGGACGGGACATATAAAGAGCGCAAGGCACGGGGAGAAATTGTTCCAAGGAATCGATGGATCGACAAGCTCAACACCAGATCCGCACAAAGTGCACTCAGGCCCGATGGCAAGGACTTCTATGTTGATCCTGAGATGGAGTTCTATGTGAGATGCAACAGCGGACACACACGACAAGTCGATATCCAATCCTTTGGACGACCCCTGTTCTCTGAGCAGAAGGAGCCTCATTACGACGAACCGGACTATGATTTGCCAACGGAATCCATTCCGCCAAGTCCGCATCCGTCAAGATCCGAGGCGCCTCATGGAGATGAAAGCACAGCTCAGCCCAAGTACAGAATGCGAAGGCCGGCTCGAAGACGACGATTCTGAAACCGCATTGACCCATGTGCCAGCAGGAAGAGATGCGTTGCTGATCCTTGCATTTCTCAAGGACCAAGACTATGGCATCCGCCTTTCCGAAGAGAGAACAGCGTTGACAGACAAAACCATCGAGGCAAGAAACATTGTTGCAGCATTCGAACCTCATGGCGAGCAACAAGTGGATCATGAAGAAGTATCTCGATCATGAAGATTACGAGATGTACGACACCAAGATCCGCGAATTCGCCGATGCCTTCTTCACGTATGTGAATTCCACCAAGCACAACAAGGAAAAAGATACCTCCTCAGAGACCAAGAAGAGACGGCATTCCACCGATCAGGACTCCACCGAAGGAGAAATGATGGAACCCTCCGGGGAAAGATCCGTCAAGCCCAAGGTCATCGTGGAATATCACAGTTCAGAGATCCTAGAAGAGTTCATCCAAGAACTCAAGGAAACCTATCTCGAAATAGATATGAACAAAAAGGACGCAGAGGAAGAGCTCGCGGGGATCAAAGAAGAACTCAAAAGCTTCATGAACCAGTTCAACAAAGATCCGAAAGGAGCTCATCCCAAGTTGACAGAGTGCGAGAGAGCCTCATTGGCACATGTCGATCCTGATGTCAATCTCGGTGAAGAAGAATTCTACTTCCCTCATCGAGGAGAATGTCCCACCATTGACGAGTACAAGCAAGCTCAACCAGGATCCGGATATCCGATCAAGCTGCCGCTTGGACTGAAGAAGCTCAGGTCACAAGATGACCCGAAAATCATCCGAGCCTATGCCGATATCCTGGGATCGCTGATGCAGCCGACTGACCGTCCTTCCGTGGACTATCTCAACATGCATGAGTTCACCTCATCCATAGGGATCAACATCCTTACCCTGAACCATGGAAACCTCACAAGGAATCCAAAGTTGGACAACAGGGAGGTGTACAACATGCCGATGAAGGATCGACCGATCGTCAAGATGATGATGCAGAACAGTGCACACATCTTATGCCTGAATGAGGCAGACGCATTCTTCAGTCCGAATGATGAGAAATCCAGGGAGCTCATCAAGACGTTCATCCGATACGGTTACAAGGGCATTGTGATCAAGCAATGGTCATCCAGACCGATCGCATGCTTTGTCCGCGGCGGACCCTCTGCACGAGTGGAACTTCTGGCAAGACACATTTCTACCAGGAGCCAGAATTGGGGAACCACATTCGGAATGTTCAGATGTTTCTTCGGAACCAAAGAAGATGGCACTGATCCCGAATACGAAATTCCGACCTCGGATTGCTTGGCAACCACAGGAACATCCATGTTCACCGAATCCAAGAAGTACATTGGATCGAGATTGCCAGCACGCACCATTGTCCAAGGACATGGCCGAGACAAGGAGATCGTCGTTCTCCACATCGAGCAGAGTGATGAGTTTCGTGGCATGATCCCGAAATCATCCGACAAATCATACTACGAGTATGACGACCGCCACATCACGAGGGCAGACTTGCCATTCGCGACTATTGGAGTTTTCCACATCCATCCTTCACTTAGTCATGGAGCAGCAAAAGAAGATCTTCAGAACGAAATCATGCCGCTTGTGACCTTGTACCGATGCGATGCGATCACCGGAGACGCCAACAAATCGGCGAACACCTACAGCAAACTCCAGCATGTCTACAATCCAACCAACGGTCTCGTGAACATCCTCATGAGAGCATATCAGAGATTGTGGAATGCGACGAAGAATTTGCCACTCGTGGACAGAATGGAGTATACGGTGGAGACTTCGTGCACCCTGAAATCCATTATCCGTCATCACGTGTACATGAAATGCGGATCAGGTTTTGATCGAACATTCCTGTTGTGATGATGACTATCGTATTTGGATGGGGCAAAACGAACATCCAGCAGGACTTCCGGAAGATCGAGATGAACAATATGGATGATGAACAACTGGAATTCATGCGGAACCATCCGAACAAGGCCATTTTCGATTACTAGGTCTCATCCGCAGAGCGCTACAAGCACGTGAACAATGAAATGTTCATGAACGGCTCGCAGGACTCCGACTCCCACAGTCCTCTCATGGTTTACATCCGCAGCAGATCACGCAGCTCTGAGAGATACCAGGATTACGTCAAGAAGAGACAATCCTGGACCACGCAGGAGTACAAGGACTACAACAAGCAGTGGGGATATCAGAAGCAGTGGAAGGACTACAGCAGTTCGACCTGGAATGATTATGGAGACCATGGCAGTCAATCCGACAGCAGTCGCCGATGGTATCGTCGATCCGACTGACCATGAAGATACGTTCAGCACCACGAGCAATCCAGATGATTGATCCTCCTCGTCTACAAGACTATACCATGAGTGAGTGATCAATAGTTTCACAATTGTTCCGCGTGTACATAGCGTTGTACATCACCCTTTGATACAATTAGGTCTCCAAAAAGAAGCGTACATAGTGTTTCCCATTTCGAAGGCCAAGACATTTCATCCAGCAGAAAAAGGATGAATCCGGCTCTTTTAATCACATGGCTACGGCACACATTAAGGCTACGGTCAAAGGCCATGAAGCCAATAGTATTTCATACTTTGTGCTGGAGATCAAAAGAAATTTGTGTCTGTTTTGTGTTCTGTTTCCCAGACCATTGATCTCCCGCAACATTTGGCTCAAGGCCCCTTTTGCATAATCACGACCATTCGAGCGTGAGGACAAAAGAGCCATTGCAGGCCGCTTACAGGATTATCCATCAGACAATCCACCAGGGACAATCCATCCTCCAATCATCCATTGTTGGCATATTGGACTCCGGAATAGATTCAGGGACCAACAACGACCTCAACTACCACAGGGTTCCAGTTCCCTCCGGGGATAGGCACCTGGGGCACCCCCCCCCCCCCCCAATGGTATCTCCCCCCCCCCCCTTTGTCGGGCCCCCGCCCCCGCCGCCCCCGAGCACTTTTGGATGCCCTGGACCGCTGTGTGCTTCGGGCTCGCTCCGCACTTTTTGGATATGTCCATTCCCTGCCACCCGCTCGCATTTTCTCATGTGTGCTTATTATTCTTTTGTCTTGTGTCGGAGAGCTAGCTTTCAATTGGTGTCTGTACCACGTCAGTTCCTTCTAAACTTCCACACATAAGCAAGCACGCCACCCACACCAAACGCAAAGCAAGCCCTAAAACCACTCCACAGGGCGGGCAGGCCGTTCCCCAAAACGCATCCCAAATCAATCTTCCAGATTTCCCAAGCCAACCCACACCAACCCTAAACAATGCCTGAGCCCACCCTTAAACCACCCATAACCCAACCCTAAATTAAGCCCACCCACCACGCCACACGGGGGAGGGGGGGTTTCGGGGGGGGGGGGTTGCGGGGCTGGACCATAAATGTGGATATACAAATGATATATATATATATATATGTACATACATACTCTTATGTACATACGTATTATATATATATATATCTCTCCTATGGTTGTCGACCGATTCCCGATCCCAATTGGGGCTACTAGCGACTAGCCAGCCCTATTGAGGGTTAATGAGGTTCTGTTGGCTCCTTTTTTGGGTTTTCTCTCCTTGGGCCCTGACAACCATGGAACTATATATTTTGTATAGTTCCGTTTATATGCACATGGACACATTACTTTGCATTAGATTGCGTTGCGTTGCATTCATACATGGATGCATGCATACATACATACACATACATACAGACACATAATCCTTGTGCCGATCCGAATCGGTCGAACTCAGTGGATCCTTTTTGTCTGCAGTTGGTTTCTCTTTTCACTGTCAATTGGTGGTCTTGAACCTGTCCCCTAACCAGCATGTAAATCTGTAGAGATACCTTGAACCATGGCATGTTAGTCAGTGAGTTCGCCCGTGCCTGGGACGTTAAGGCCATCGAACTCTTCAAGGAGATGCAGGCAGAGGGGCACAGCATCAGTGAGGGCCTTTGCGTTGGGCTCTTGGCACGCTGTGCGGATGGGAAGCTACTTGGATGCATTTGCTTAAGAATATTTTTCCTTTTCATCTCTTGGTTTTAAATGGAATCTATCACTACTGGACATATATTTTTTAGTTTTTCCAGGGGCCTTAAGCAAATGGAAGATTTGGAGATAGGTCAAAAATAGGGAGTGGGTGGGGTGGGGGGTGTTCGAAATGGTAAATCAAGCTGTTTACACTTGAGCAAAAGTAGATGACACCATTCCCACATCTTTGAGTCATCCGCCTTGCTTACCCAGCCGGATTTGTGCCATCTACCTTCATCCTGGTGTACGCTTCCGTCCACTAGTTATGGGACTGAGGGGTCCGTTGCCGCTTAAAGCTTGCTGCTTCTTGGCTGGGAATGAGAAACGGAACGACCCCCATAAACCATCCCATTTGTCTTCCTTTAAGGACATCCCCAAAACCGGCTCATTCAACCACCACCCGGACTCAGATTCGGTCATTCCCAGGCTATCGCACCGATCGCAAGAAACGAGACTGGGTTCCATGGCAACGCAGACAGGAGGACAACACCTCCCCACCCCCTCAAACCCTCAAAAGTGGAAAATCCCCTGAAAAACTCTCCATTTCTGGCTCCACTTTTATGAAGACTCGAACATGGAGTTGGAGACAACTCCCCAGAAGGATGGTTTTTGCCTTTTTTTCGGACACCTCTCTTTGCCGAGGTTCCTGAGCTTTGCAGAGGAAGTGGTGCGCTTCGTGCGGGCCGGGCCCGGCATGAGCATCGCAGTGCACCTCCGCAAGATCGAAATCACCCCGTGGTGTCAAGTTCTCCCCGATTTGTTGAGTCCAACGCAACCCAACCTCCTCCTCCCCGCCCCTCCGCCCCTCCGCCCCTCCGCCCCTCCTCCCATCCTCCCCTTCCCACTGTTTTTGGGTTTCCGTTGGGATGTCGGACATGGGAAAAGCAAGCTCTTCTGACGGGGAAACCGAGTTGAGCCAGTTTGGGGGCACTGTTTGGGGGGCCTTCCATGGTGGTTTGTTTGATCCGTCCAATTTTCCGACCCAGTTGCTTCTTTTTCCCCGATTGATTTTAAGAGGCGTCTATCACTACTGGAAATATGTGTGTTTTGTCTAGGACTTGGGCACCTGGCAGGAATCTGAGGGGACGACTCCCAAAACCATCCAAATCCGATGACTTGAGCCCAAGAGAGAAAGTGTCCAAGTAATCCTGCCAGGAGCTCAGGAACAGCGACGGATCAGCGTTCCTCTTGCTTGATGGGTGGTAGGCATAGTCATCAAGCTCTTAGCAGTTTGGTCCGAATCCCTGTTTGTAACACATAACGTAGGTCTTTCTGTTTACTTGTGTTTAAAATCCGATCAAACTGTTTGACCTACATGTTTCGTGCCTGGCCTTTCTGCCCACCATTCTTTGGGTCCAAAAAAGGACCTTCTTGACCTACATGTGAGTCGCAATCAAAACCCGAGTATTTGGAGGGTAACACAGGGACAATCCCAACCAGAATCAGGTGCGGCCGCCTTTTGATTCCTTTACAGGATCCTGGGTGCACCATTCAAAATACCCAGGTTTTGATCACTCATAGCTGAGCATCCTGAGACCATTCAATCCCAGGCTTTCACTCATGCCCGAGCGCGCCATAGGTACAGCGGTCTCATGAAGGTCTACGCCTACTCGGGCATGTACGGCAAGGCCTGCGACCTCTACGACCAGATCCGCTCGGACGGCCTCGAGCCGGACACCATGATGCGCCCTCAGGGGCAGATGAAAGTTAGTAAGGGGCGATCCCAACCATAAATGGGTGTGGCCGCCTTCTTGATCCTTTACACGGTTCGGGGTTCACCATTTTTGTACCGGGTTTTGAGCAAGTGACTCAGATGAGTTGTCCAGAACTGTGGTTGTCTTTTGGGTTTCTCACATTTAAGTGTCGGTTTTACACTCTTGCCGTGTTTGCCAGGCTTGGTAAGCAATTCATAACTGGCAAGATCAACACGGGAACCACAAAGGGGGAGATTCCCGTCTCCAAGGGGGTCCCATTTGCTTAGAGGAAGCCAACAGGAAACCCGCCACGAGGTCCTTAGCTTTCAGGACCCAAACAAACTCGGTAGATGGAAACCATAACAATCAACCACTCAGGGAAACAGCTGGTTTTTGAAAAAAACGATGGTTGAAAAGAATGGGGAATCAACCCCTAGAACCACCTAGAGTCTCCATGACCCTTTAAACATGGGGCCATTACCCTAAATAATGGGGTCATGGACCTATTTTCAAAGGGTCATGGAGACTCCAGGCACCCAAAGTTGTTTGTTTTTGGCGGAGTTAAAACAGCTCTTGATTGCCAAGGGCTTCAATCCACAGGTGTTTGTTTCCCTCAAGTAACAAACAAATGCGTGTGTGGTTTCTGTCGGCGCCTGGTGCCTTTTTCGTGGGGAGTCCTTATTCCAGGACAACCCTCACACACATTTGTGCAACAAGGGGGGGGGGGGTATGAATCACGGGTCAACATGAATCTGCACTCTTCTATAATTATTAACAAAAGGGGGCGGGGAGGGGGAGAGGGGGGGGGGTGGAGGGGGGGGTCCGACTCCATTCCTGCGCGGAGAAAATCCCCACATAGGTACGGGTGCCTCATGAAGTTCTCGGTGGAGTGCGGGCGCACGGCGTTGTCCCAGGCAGGTGCCGATTTTTTTTTGGCAGGTTTGGAGGTTTTCGGGAAACCAAACTCACTTGCCCAAAGCCGACCTTTTGACCTTTTGGTTTTCCCATGTTGGTCCATTTTTAGTAAAGGTCCCAAAAGGTTAACTTTTTATTTCCAGGTCTTTTGGGCAAGTGAGCAAAAGTTGGAAACCATCAAAAGTTGGAAACCTCAGTTGTTCAGTGGCACCAATTATTTTCCCCCTTTTTTTGGTGCCCACTAAAAATGGTCTTCCCCAAAAAGGGTTCCCTTTTTTCCCCAGGGTCACTGAACAACTGAGAAACCATAGGTGTCCTTTTGGCTGTTTTGGTCGACAATAGAGGGCGATTCCTGGTTTACCTGGTGGTTTTTTCTCATCTACCAGGGATATCCATCTATTTGCCCCACAAGGACACCCGAGATCACAAAAAAAAGGTCGCTTTCAAAGGCTGCTTCCCCTTTTCGGCTCGGTTGGAGAGAACGGGTCCAGTCGCAAACTGGGCGCTAACTTGCCTTCCTTCTCTACAACTTGTACTGAGTCAATTTCCCTCCCTCCCACCAACATGGCACCTGACGCGGGAGTTGTTTAAAGAGCAAACGGATCTTCCAGATACCCTCCCACAGCTGCTATGTTTGTTGGAGGGAGGGTGCCTTTTTCATCTGGCATGCTATTTTTGCCCTCCTGGCCCCAACATGGCACACAGGAGGCTTCACGCCATTCATCTTCCAGGTGCCCGAGCCAAGAGTAGCTCCAAAAGTGGAAGCCGATCGCTTCAATGGAAACCTCCGATCACAAATTGCTCAACTGATTTGGGGAAATCCAGGCAGCCCCTATTTCCCTGAAGCAACAAACATATCAAAGAGAGCGCCTGTGTTTTTTGCCCCCACGCAAATCCACCCGGGCTTGTGAAAACAGCCCATAGTTTCCTGACAAACCCATGGACATCCACAAAAGGTTTGTCAAGAGCTCAAAACGCCCTGCCGCTTTTGGTCAGGAGCTCTCCGAAAAGCTCTCCGTGCTGGACATCCAGCACTTCGGCCGTTTTGGTCGATTCGCTCAGCTCGGCGCAAAATCGGGCACGAGAAATGTCGACCCCGGATCTAAGCGGCTATGGGTCAAAACCCCGTACCCCCAGTGAACATCCCAATCCCCTCTAAAATAGACTAAACTGGATGGTGCACCTACCCCAAAATGGTACCATTGGTGTTGACCCACGGCCACGTAGAAACCGGTCCCCTCCAAAAGTGGTGAATCCCGCTGAATCAACCACGGGTTCATCAATCTGGGGCTTCCGTTGCGTGTCAGAGGGGGCCCTAAATAGGGGTGAATGAGGGGTCCTTCCAAACAAACGAGGGTATTGCCAACCTGAAAGGGTTTGAAACAAAGCAAGCCCAAGCAATACCAGGGGCTGGTTGTATAAGTATTTACTAATAATTTACCACTAGAGTAAGAAGAAAAAACTTACAGGGTGCCCCTAAATTGGGGGGACCGGGGTTCTCTTTGACCAAAAGAATGGTGGCACACCTAAAGAAACCAAAGACCCATATCCTGGATCTTGGAATTCTTGGAACGCCCTAGGCGATATTCGCAACGTGAACTCCCTTCTGCCTGCCCCTCCTGACTCCTCTTCCTTTCTTTCTTCCCGGAAAAAAGCGGGCCATGTTGGGCAAATTCGCAACTCAGAGCATGGCCCATCCAACATGCGTGTGTGTGCGAGATGCTTAAATCTTGCATGTTCAAAGGGACCTTGATGGTTGAAACCAAATGGTGCTGAATTCTATACCTGCTTCTGTTTGCTTCCTGCCCAGTGCTCGTCACTTCGTGACATAAGGAACTACATGTCCTTGATCAAGGCGGCCGGCCGCGACCGTGACGTGGACCGGGCATTTTCCATCATCCAGCGGCTGCGCGAGAACGACGTGAAGCCAGACGCCATCGCCTTCAACTGCGTGCTCGACGTCTGCGTCAAAGCGGGGGACTTGTCCCGCGCCAGGAAACTCCTCCAGGAGATGAAGGACTTGGCATTGCCCCCTGGCGGCCGAAATTCTCAGGAAAACCCGAAATTCTAGGGGTTGATTCCCCACCATCGTTCTTTTCAAGAACCAGCCGTTTTCTCTGGGATTCCGGAGGTTTTCTAGAAAGAAGGATCCCTGCAAGGAATGGGCAAGGTACCCGTAGAGAAATGGTTGGTGGACAAAAGTCCCCACCAAAGCCTGATGTCCGCCGAAATGGCCGCAAGTAAATTGTTCCCACTTGGCTGATTGGTGGTTCCACCGAACAAGCCCCTAACAACTCTCTAGTGAGATAACTCTAAAACCAATCCCAAGCCTTCTTGGTTGGTTTGCAAGTTCGCCGCTTCGTTTGTTTGCTTTCTCTTGTGACAGGCTCGACATCATCACCTACAACACCCTGCTGAAAGGGTACTGCAGCCAAGGCGACATCAAAGGTGCCAAAGACCTTTTGGCTGAGATGACAGACGCAGGCTACGCCCCGAACGACGTATCCTACAACTGATGCTTGGCTGATGTTTATCACGCCGCCTTCGCGGCATGCTGGTGCTACAGAACAAAAATACTTTGTGAATTCTAGGTTTGGGGCTAAACCCGCGTTTAGACTCTGCCAACGGTTGAATTGAACGTTGCCCAAGTGGAGACAAACCCACTCACGGCACGATCGGCATCTGAGGCATCTTGAACGTGGCGGTGAACAAGGGGAGCTTTGAGGATGCCTGGGACACCATCTCCAAGATGGAGCAGATGAACGTGAGGCCGGGGAGCCCATTTGCCCAAGGCTTCCCGATAGGCCCCACGCGAAAGACATGTCTTCAAAACGAATCAACTTCTGCATGGTTTAGTCCAGCCCAACAGCGCCCGTGACGTGAAGCACCGAGGTTGCAAGTGGACCACCAAGGAATCTGCTGGCTGCATGGTGTTGTGTCCGAAATGGAAGGAACTTCCTGAAGGCACTCGTGGTTTGACCGATATCGCGTCTTAAGGGGGTTCTCCTTGACAACTTCCACCCCTCCCCCCCCCCCAGTGAGTCTATGTTGCAGCCACCGTAAAAATCAAGCCCGCCAGAAAAGGTTGCAACATAGACCTTTGACCGTTCGTGTCCAACTCTTCTCCCCCACGCACCCACCCCCCCTTCCCATGGGCCCGGTGCTTCCCATTCCCCATAAGTTCCCAAGCATGCAACCGGAACCATACGTTTGGTTGGAAACCCATAGGACGTAGAGGCAACCAAAATCCTTGGTGTGGCTGTCAGCTTTTCTCTAAACCACCCCCTTTTGGGGTTGAGTGCCCCAAAAAAGGCAGGACCCTCCTCTTGTTTTTTGCTTCTTTTTTTTGGGGGGGGGGGTTCGACTTTTCCCGGGCTTTCCCTTCGGGTTCTCCCTTCAGGTTCGAGCAGCTCCAGCTCCCCCTTTTCTGGGGCCAAGAACCGCCAGGCCGCCCACCCCTTCTGCTCCCCCTCAAACCGGCCAAAAAACCGGAGGCCACCTCCCATGCCCTGTTTGAACCGGCCACCTCCCCCTCCCATGCTTTTTTCCGGGGCGCAAAACATCCCAAAACCGCCAGGCCGGACCACTACACGGTCTCCATCATGCTGAAGGCCCTGAAGCGCGCCAAGGGCTCCCGGGACGTGCAGCGCTGCCTGGGCTTCCTGGACCGCTCCCAGATCGACCCCTGCGCCGCGCTTAGATCTCGGATCGAAGGCGTCGAACGAGCTGCGGAGCTGCGGGGCGGAGTCGAAGCCCTCGTTTTTCTTAGGCAACCAAGAACATCAAGAACTGCACTGGTCTTGGGTGAGTCAAGCGGTTTGTTTTGTTTGAAGTTGTTTGGTTCTGTTCGTTTTTAGCAGGCTGCAAGAAATGAAGCTTTTTGCAAGCCCACACCAAGGGTTGTGAAGAGGAAAACCAAATTCGGGCGATGTCGTTTCTTCCATTGGCTGAAAGGAGTATTTGTTTTTGATCCCTGTTGGTTTTGAAGGAAATCGATTTCGCTACTGGAGTTATGTTCCGGTTCTTTCAACTTAAGCAAATGGAGGTTGTTCTGTGAAGAAAAAAAACGAAGGGAGGCCGGTGAACCCGGATGAAGAACTTGGTTCTTGGCTTGGATCTTTAAACTTGAACAGGGCTCCTTAAAAGATACCTGGTGCAACCATTTGAAACATCTCTTTTTCCACCAAAATAAAAGGAAACCTCCATGTACAAAGCAATGTTCAGGTGTATAATGTAAGGATCCCTGTTTAACGTGGGAAATCAAGGGTGTTACCAGTTAGTCCACAAGATTAAACTTTTTGCAGAGGGGTCAATAGCAGCCAGGAAATGAACCCCCTGGTTGATTTTAGGATGTTCAAAATCCTCTTTCTTGATTTTGATGTTGGCCCAGAAACAATCAACGCCTCAGCCCAGAAATGTTGAGGTTGCCCCCTCTTGTTTTCGATGAAAAAAAGCACAAAAAAGAGCAACGTGCCGCAAGGGTTGTCCTTTTGGTTTCCCTGAAAAGAGTCAAAAGAGAGTTCCCTTTCCGGATGAAGCAGAACCCCCTTGTTGGTTTTGATGACGTGTCCAATTCCTTTGGGGAATTCAGACCACTTTTGGAGAAAAAAACCAAACGTATTAATAGAAAGGCTTGAAAAAGCCCGTGGTGAACACTGGACGACCATCAACAGTTCAGACTGGTTTGGCCAATCCACGCAGGAAGTGAGTTTCCGAAAAGCTACAATGAGGTTATGTTTGGGGCGGGTCGGTGCCCTTTTCCGATTGGTTGAAAGGGAAACCAAAAGAAGACCCTCAGCCCGTTTGTTGAACACGTATTGACACGTATTGGCCCAAATGGATCGAAAACAGGTTTGAGGTTGCATTAAGTTTTAGGTTGCCAGTTTTTGTGATACCCAGGACCCCGTCTTTGAGATAGAGAAATCATGGGGATGGAATTGCGACGTTTGTGTCAGGTTCTCCTCCGAAAGTGGTACAACAAAGCGGTTTCGTTCAGAACCATGGTGGGGTTCCTGTTTGGCAGAAGCTCGAAGCAATCACAATACATGACAGACCTTCCAAAACGTGAAAGGCAATACCAACACCTTGCGAAAACAACGGCAACAGCTGGTTGTGCTGTTTTTGTGGGAGTTGGCACACTTGTCTCTGCGTTCAAGGAAGGTGGCCCTGTGAGAAATCCTCGAGTTTAGTCTTCAGTGGTCTTCATTGTCGGGAAACACGGAATCCAAAACCCCCACAGGTCCGCTAAAAAAAGACCCACCCATATGGTGGACCCGCACCCCTTTGTTTCACTTGTGCCCGTGAGTTTCCTCGTGACACCTTGATGTCTCCAGCATAGCACAAAATAAGCTTGCAAAGCCAGCTTGCTCTGAAAGGCCGCGTGCTTTGCCGGTTGCTCAGGCTCGGACGAGATCCTGATGAACACCGTGCTTGAGACCTACATCCGCCACAAGGAGTCTCCGCGTTTGCTTGCGCATGCTTACACATTGATACACAGTTGGTTGCTTTGTCTTGTTGGTTCTCAGCAGGGAATGAGGGAATGAAGCCCAGAAACCAATCCATCCAAAACCGGTTTATTCAACCAACACCCGGACTTGGATTCGATCATTCCCTACCTATTGCACCAGGTGGAAACCCCATCTTCATTGGCACCTGGCCAGCCGAGGTCTTCGGCGCATGGTGACATGTTGGAGTGCCAGGTTGAAGTCGTTTGGGTGTTCAGGTCCTTTGGTTCTGTTCATGTTTAGCGGGGCTACCAAAAAGATGCGTTGTGCAAGCCCATAACAGGTTGTAAAGTTGTTTGGTTTGCAAGTCCTTTTGTTCTGTTCATGTTTCGAAGGGCCAAGAAAAATACGGTTTTGTGTGTTGCAAGCCCTTTGTCCAGTCCCAACCAGTGGCTGTTTTTTGGCCAGTGCCAGTGCCTGGGGGCGAATGCCGAAGGCATGGAACAGACAAAGATTTTCGGGGAAAAATATCTGCATGTGCCAAGCAAAAAACCTGTCAATTGGCGAGTCTCCGGTGGCTGTTTTCCTGATTATTCTGCTGGGTGAGAAAGTAAAGGGGGATGAAAACAACATGGAGTGGTGACATCAATCTTCACCCCGCTTTTTTGGGGGCACCCCTTTTTTGGTCTCCCTTTTGTGGGAAACCCCCGGGCCTTTTTGGTTTTGGTTGGGTGCCTTTGGAGGTCCCAAGATCCGCTGCCTCGATCGACAGGAGCTGAAGCGCCTGGAGAGCTTGCTGTCCAAGTTCGAGCAGAGCTCCTTGCGGCCTTCCGTGCCCACCTATGGCTCCATCATCAAGGCGGCGGAATCCTTCGCCGGCTTCGGCTTCGTCTGACCGGCTTCGGTTTCTCCGAATGAGCCACGTCCTCAAAACCGATTCGGGTAGATGAAGGTTAGTAAGGGACAATCCCAACCAGAAATGGCGGCCGCCTTCTTAATTCTTGACATGGCTCCATCATCAAGGCGGGGTGTCTTGCCTCCAAAAGGCGGGGCACCGATCGCCCAAAATTGGCGGCCTTTTTCCATAGTGGGTCGGTCTTTTTGTTGGATAGTACTCCTTGTTGGTTGGTTTTGAAGAGGAGCCAAAAGGACAACCACCATTTTGGGGGGGGGTGCCCAAAAGAAGACACACCGAAGTTTCTCCAAAGGGCGGCTTCGGCCTGGCCTATGGTATGAACCCCTGGTTTATGACTTAGTTCAGCCGGTTAAACCAGTGCTTTATAGAAGATCAGCCCCGAAAGGGTGCAACATGGCCATGGGTTAAAAAATGGGGGGGGTTGATTAAACAAACTCGATCTTTCAACCACGTGGGAGAAGTTACCCATGGTAATTTGGAACCAGGAATATGGATCACTCCTGACCGGCATGATCTTCACTTGAGCAGCGCCAAAAACTCGAATTGACCGTGGTTCCACTACCTGGTGCAATACGGATTTGAGGAATCCGGGCTCATGGACCTATTTTTAAAGGGTCATGGAGACTCCAGGTATTGCCATCTTTGTGGAACCAAGCGTCAGCGGGTTTTTCTTGCACTGCTCGCGTGGACAACTCCGATCGGCGTCTAACTTGCTCGCTTGCGGCAGGCTTACGCCAACTTGAAGCGCCCGGAAAAGTGCTGGCACTACTGGAACGCCGCTTGCCAAGACCTCGCCCGAGGGCTTGCGTCGTCTTTTTGAGGGTGCCCTTTTCAGGGGTCACTAGTTTGATTGTTTCTAGGGGTTGTCAAAGTCAGAAAATGGGAGTGGTTCCCGTTAATCATCACTTAGGGGGCTGTGATCATGGTAAAATAATGAGGCCAGTGTTTTTGGGCGGTTTGAAAGGAGAACCAAGAAGAACCTATGTCAAGACACGTCTGTTTCGAAGGCAGACGAGCAGCGCACAAACGCTTGGTCTAGGGCCTTTTTTAGCAGGTGAAACTACTGCCGGGTCTAGGAAAAGCATACTACTTCCTACATAAATCAGAAATCCGAAGAGGGGAAGAATGGGGCTGTTGTTTTGAGGGTGCCCCTGATCGCGGTTGTTTTTGAAAGGGACGCCAAAAGGAGAACCTGTTTTGGAGGTTCCTCTTCGAGAGAAAGCGACAGGTCCTCTGCTTCGACACGTCCCGTGGTCCATTCATCAAGGTCAAAGGCGAAGCTCCCACCCGATTTTTTGAGCAACTGAGAGGGTCAAATGGGGCCAGCTGATCTACATGTTAGCAAGTGAATGCGGGAACCCTCTTTTTGTCTTCCAAAATCCTCAAGAGTCCACTTCCATGATGCTTGGTAACAGATTCTTCGCCCCAGCAGCAGACCAAGACCCCGTCCATTTCCTGTGGCATCTAGTTTGATTCTCCCAACTGTGACCGGTGGGTATTGGCCATTGCTTGCGAGTTTACCTTACTGTTGTTGGCAAGTGTTTAGCTGTTCTTGGTTTTTTGTTCTGTTCCTTTTTTAGTAGTGGCTGCAAACAACAGGGTGTTTTGCTTCCGTACCCAGGTTTGGACAGTGTGTCCCAGAGAGGTTTCGACTTGGAAGGGCTTAGTGTACTTCTGTGTGTCGCTTGTTTCCCGTCATCGTACTGGCTAAACACTTCCAAACACAACGCGAGGGCTTAGCAACGGATTTGCTGGTGGAAGCCTTGTGTTCGGATCCCACTTGTGCAGCACCGAAGCCCTCATTGCTCGTATTTTTAAATACACGCAAGGGACGGTCAGGATTCCATTCAGGATAGATATTGGCCAACTTAATTAACAACCGCCAGCAGCTGCCTCAAAGGCATTCTACAATGTGCAGGGGCTTCTCGTCTTTTTTGGGTTGGGCCCCCCCAAAATGGTGGGTGTCCTTTTGGTGTACCCTTAAACCAACCAAAAGGGGTTCCGGAAAAAATCACACGCAAATGGTTTCCCTTGGCCACTCCAAGCTTCCAGAGTTTCTCTAAGGAGATGCAGAACCAGCGCGGTCTTGAGCCCAACGACATTGTCTATGGCTGCATGTTGGACGCCTTGGTGTGCAACGGCCAGGCCTCGTGGGAGCGAACGTGTGCCCGGCCAAGATTTCGACCCCCAAGATGGCGCCCCCAATTTGATGGAAACCGGCAGAACATCTGCCAGAATCGTAGACCGACTTCCGCCAGTATCTCTCAAATACTTGATTGGCATAGTTGTTCATGTCACTCTCGAGTGACATTGAACCATCATGCATGAATGCAGAGAAATGGACCAGCGAGTTTGAGTTCTGAGATACATTTGGGAATCCTCTAGTGACAAGGTTGTCATGGGAATCATCCACTTTGGTATTTTGCAGAAAGGTGCATCCGTTTTCCGCCATATTGGGTGCAAGTTGTTTGGTTGGGCTCTCACGATCTCGTGTGAAAATACTGTCATGTGCTAAAGGTTTACGAACAATTTGGCACCAGAATCCAAAAAATCCACCAGATTATTTTGTTACGCCAACCTGAGGTACCCTCACCCAGACTAACATGGAAGTTCCTAGGTTCCCTTTGGAAGACTTGGTTCCATTGACAGAGGCCTCACTGTCATTGTTTAAAGGTTCACTAAATGAGCAACAGAAACCAGAAGATCTATTTTATTTTTTACCTAGCTGAGGTAGGTTTGGGTGTGTTTTTTCCCGTGTGTGTCTCGCTGGCTTTTGGGTCCTGTCAGGTGGACGAGGCGGTGAAGTTGTTCGAGAACAGCCGCATCAAGCCCAACGCGGTGCTCTGCTGCTTGGCGAAGTGGTGAAAGACTACACCTTGCCGGGGATAGGCATCAAAAAAAACTTATTTAGGGATCAAAAAAAGACTTCTTCTCATTCCTATGTGGAGAAGGAAGGAAGGAAGGAAGGAAGGAAGGAAGGAAGGAAGGAAGGAAGGAAGGAAGGAAGGAAGGAGGGAAGCAGGAAGGAATTCCAGGAAGAAAGGAAGAAAAGAAGGAAGGAAAGAAGAAAGGAAGTAAAGGAAGGAGATCTGAAACATTTTGAGAGGTTCTCAACATCGATTTCGGGAATCGGCGGATGCACCCTTTGTTGAATCATCTTCTTCAATCATCATGGCGGGGGCGGAAGCCCCCTCACCCCAACCCACTGATTTGTAGAATGTTTGCAGAGATTAACGCACCCTTTGTTGAATCATCACTTCTTCGAACATAGGGGGAGCGTACCCTTTGCTGAATCATCACTTCTTCGATCATCATGGGGGGGGGCTGCGCCCACCCCAACCCTGCGCCTGCCACAAAGCCTGTACCTGACCTTGCGAAAGTGCTGCATGCCACGAAATGAAGATGTGCTGTCTTAATCCCTGACAAGTTGTTTTGATCCTCTGAGGTTTTATTTTAGTAGGAAATCTCCAGAAGAAGTTGTTTGACCCCTAATAAGTGTTTGATCTTTAGGAATAAGTGTGTTTGATGCCTAAAAAGTTGTTGTTGATCCCTTACCCTTTGTGGTGCCTCGTGCAGTGAATTCCATAGTCAATGATGTGGCTCAGCCACCGGGCTTAAGCAAATGGAAGAATAGGTAGGGAATGCGGGAATGATCCCCCTAAACCATCCAACTGGTTTCCTTAAATGGAACCAAAGCCTGGGTTCATTCCCTCATTCCCTCAAGACACAGGGACTTTTTTTCAGAGTGGGGTGTCTCTTAGGGCGTCTCCCTTTGGAGGGGCGTTAAGTCAACTTGTGTTTCTTAACCTGGGCGTCCATGTTAAGCCATTTGTTTCCAAAGCCGTGTTCCAACCACAGAAAGAAAACGCCAATTCGTTTCTGTTGAATGGCAGTGATCTTTCCTCAAGAAATCACCAGGTGCCAGGCCTTAACGGCCAAAAGCCACGCCTTTCCAAAACAAACTCGGAGTTGCACTTCCATTTGCTTGGATCAAGCTTTAAGAACAGCAAGTGGAAGTTCAACTCCGAGTTTGTTTTCGGTTTCTTTCTCTTTCGTTGTTTGCTTCTGTTCCTTTTTAGGCGGTCTGCCAAAAAGCAGTCAGTTGTTTGCAAGCCCATACCAAGGGTTGTGAAGTGTTTTATGTTCTCTTCTTGGTTTTTAAAGGGAATCTATCAATACTGGAAATACTATCTGGGGACTGAAGCAAATGGACTTGAACTTGTGTGTGTGTGTGTGTGTTTTTGGGCATCTTCCACAGGGTTGAAAAGCACCCCTCCCCGTAAACTGAAATTGAAAGTGCGTCTCAAGACGTCTCAAAAACCCCCGAAAACCTCCCAGTCCCCCTGAAAAACCCCCCACCAAGCTCCAAATTTTGCCGACCCACTTGTTCCTTACTAAACCCCCGCCCCCGCTCCCCCCCACCCCCCCACCAAGCTAGTCTCACAAAAAACCCGGCCGCACCGCCTTCCGTCCCTGCCGTGGGACCGTGGGCCGAGGCTCCATCCTGGTCAAGGGCTTCACCAACTCCGGGCAGACCGTGCGCGCCATGGCGCTCTGGCACGCGCCTCGCAAAGTGGAAGCGTTTTTGGCCCGGCCGAGGTGCCCCGGTTTTTTTGGTCGGGACATAGATGGGTTTCTCTGAAGTACCACTGGTTTGGACGGGGGTTTGGTGCGCCATGTCTTTTCTGGTTGCTCAGGACATAGATGGGTTCCTCTGGGTTCGAATGGTTTAGATGGGGCGTTTGAGCTACTGTTCTTCGTAGGGTTGAAAAAGAAATAGAAGGGCTGCACTGGTTGGCATTGGTTTTATGAGCCATTTACAAACGGTCATCTATGATTGCCAGATTCTTTCCTCCGTGTCCCAAAAATGGAACCTCAAGTGGCGATCGCTCCAAGGGGCACCTCGTGACCCCTGTCTCACGCCCTGAGTTTGCTGCTTGCCAATTCCCTGGACACAGTGCCCCAGTGCTTCGACTGGAACCTACAAGAGACCCGCTCTCCATGTTCTAGGGTCTACAGATTTGTCCTTGCCCTGCACAAGCTTTTTGGGTCTGGAGCATCCCAAGATCGGTGACTTTTTTGACCGATCCAGGATCCACAAAACCTTGAGGACTCCGGCTACCCTTTGTGCGACGACGTGTTTTGACTTGTTGGGTGTTCCTCCATGTTCCCTCGACCGGAAAACAGTTGAGACTTGTTGCAGGCCTGGCCCAGAAAATGGATAGAACCATACCTGTCAATAATATGTTCATGATTCATAGCGAGCTCACCACCCTGGGGAAACCAAGAGGATGTTTGAACAATAGGAAACCGGGAACTGGTGTACCAACACTTTGGGGAACTCCTTATAGCTGTTTGTGAAGTATAATGGCTTGCCAAGCCATATAGGACAAGGGAGGGAACAGTTTGTTGGACTGGTGTCGTTCATGGTTGCATGATGTTGCTGCCAGCAAAACACAATGAAGACTTTCAGGATGAATAATGCATGGAGCTTGAATCACTTGTTTGTGATACTACTGACAGCCAGTGTTGATTTCGATGTTCTCCTCGCCTTCAAAAGCAAAGGTGTCGCTTGCTGGTCAGGGCCAAGCAAATAACGGCACTCAGCACAAGAGCAAGCAAGCCAACAAGTAAACAAGCCAACAAACAAAAGCCATCAACACACACACACACACACACGCACACAATGCAGGGTATGTTCTCTGCTCATGTAGCCCGTGTTTGGTGTTTAAAGGCAACCCAAAGGTTTGGGATTTCATCTGCCATGTGCAGAACCCCCAACCCAATACTCCCCAGCACAGCAGAAATCGGAGGCAAAATTGGGGTGAACCGAGCACTCCGCTTTAGTGGTGTCCCTGCACTTTTCCCTATAAACCAACCATCCGAAACGAGGTTACCCTCCGAAAGACGGAGACCCGCCCGTGGGCAGTGGTGGGACCCCCTTCAGCCTCAGCGGCCTCAGGAGATGCGCGAGAAGGGTGTGAAGATGAACACCGCGGCCTGCAACGCCTTTGTGGACGCACAGGCGCGAGGGGGCGGGCCGGGGGGATTTTCTTGGGCTAAGCATTGAGCAAAATGTGTACCTAGAGTCTCCATGGGGTCAGTACCCTAATAATGGGGTCATGGACCTATATTGAAAGGGTCATGGAGACTCCAGGTAAGCATGGCTACAGCCAGGTTCCCATTTAAGGGAGAGACCAGGCAGTTGGAACCTTCACTGTTCTTTTTTCCAGTGATTTGGTTGTTCCCTTTTCCTCATTTCTTGCGTGGGGGCTACAACAAAAACCGGCAAAGTGTTCCGCAAGCCCACACCAATGGTTGCAGTGAAGAAACCATCGTCCAGTTGAAGAAAACCACCCCAGGCCAGGCACCAGTTGCACCAACCCCAAGGGCGCCGATGGTGGCAGCAGCTTTTGTGTCCAGGGGGCAGCTTTTGGGCGGCTATGCAGTTCAGGAGTCAGAACCTCTCAAACTCAAGTTCCCCCCAAAATGCATGAGTGCGACTGGGTCGGATCTTCAGACTTTCACTTTTGGTTGAAATCGATTTGGTGTTCCGAATTGAGCCCACAAGAAGTGTTCAACTCTTTATAATTATGTTCAATCATAAAATATTGAAATTAGTAATGAATTAATTGATTTTCTTACTAAATTGCTATGGTTTGATCCAAAAGAACGTATGACACTTAATGATTTAAGTCACATGATTGGTGTAATGGAGATGTGTATGGATATGATCAGCTTACAAAACAAGTTAAAATGGAATTGGAACAAGCAAGGAAGATTAAAATATTAATGGTAATGTTATTGGGGTCTTGCCAGCAAAGAATGCTGCCCGCCCAAATACAGAAGTCAAGCGGCGAGTTCCCTTCGGCAGGGGCGGAAGGGGGGTGGCGTGGCATGAGAGGCGCGCGTGGGTAACATGGAGGAGGTCTTGCAGATCCTCAGATGGATTTCAGCGGCCGACGTTTTTTCTGGTCGAAGAAATCCGAATGGAGGGTGGGGAAGGGGGGGTAACTCACCAAAAACCAATGTAACTTGAGCACGAACCAAAAGGCAAACCGAATCCAATTTTGGGGTAAATGGCTTTCTTAGTTTTGGTTCACTTCTATTTGAGAGTTGCTCGAGAAGTGGATGCCCCTTTTGGAGGCTTCCATTTGTTGATTGCGCCCAGGCAGACGTTTTTCGTGCCCTCTTCATTGAGAAGATGGCTCGTTTGGATGTATCTTGGGGTAGTGAAACAATGGGTCGTCAGACCTTGCCGGTTTCAGATGCTCATTGGCTTCGCGAACTGGTTTCGCTTCACATGTCTGGGGCTTGTTCCCAGGGGTTCCTTGTCCCTCGAAACGGGACAGCTTTTTCTCGACCGCCTTCGAACTTGGACTCGGCCAACCGTCGACCGACATGCGCAACGGGTCCGCAGCTTTGCCATTGGGATCGACCTGCAAAGAACACCGCCCACTTTTCTCTCTGGGGGGGTTTGCATTCGTGAGACTCCGGGTTTGGTGAGGTGTCCATCGTTCATCCCACGAACCCCTTTGTAACCTGGGAAATGTGAGCTTCGGCTTGCTCCGGAAGACCCTACTTGGGAGTTCGGCCAAGTTAGTAAGTTGTTAGCCTACAACCCACCTACAAGTCCCCCGTTCAGCGGTCTTAGCGGTCTTACCTTTTTTCGAGGCTGCAAAACCCCATACTAGGTCCCCCAGTATTGCCCTTTGACCGTTTCTTTCTTGGTTGGGAGGGTTCCCTACTAAAATAGACCACAGAAAAAAAAAGAAAAAAAAAACGAAGAGAGAAAAAAAAGTAGGGGGGGAAAAGAAAAAAAAAACGGGTACCCTCATTCTAACCTCTCAAATCTGGAGGACCTGGCATAGGCGACCAGCCACTCGGCGACTCCAAACGCATCCAAGCCGCCGATCCGAGGATCGTGGAGGCCATGGCCTTGGATGGCTGCCAGCCAGATGGCATCACCCACTCCACCATTGTGAAGGGCTACGCGCCTCGTCGCCACGGTTCTAAACGTATTTTTGTTTTTGTCTCGTTGTTTCTTCTTCTTTTTTAGAGGGGGGGTGGTTTAAAAAACAACAAAAACGAACATGCCATATGGGGCGGGGCGGGTGTTTTTTTGTCGGGCTTGTTTTCTGAAGGCCAACTGTGGTCGTTTTTGTTCAGGTTTGGTTTTCTTCTCAAGGAGCAAGGGTTGGGAAGCATTCAAAAACCTGACTTGGGATTCGGATCTTCCAAATCAGGTAAAACAGTTCCATTTCTTGGTTACCCCTTGGGGTAGGCTGAACAGAGGGGTGGTTGAGGTCCCCTCAAGTGAAACCCTTGGGTTTAAGTCTACTTTGTGTTTAGGTCCATGGGCGAAGGGGGGAGGTTGATGATGTTCAGACCAAAAAATTGACTAGTCCCCCAAGTAGTGCCCTTTGACCCTTTTGTAGGTTCCCTTACTAAAATAGACTACAGAAAAAGGGTACCCTTATTCTAACCTCTCTACTGGAGGACCTAGATGATGTTCAGACCAAAGAATCTATGGCAATGCTATTGGGCGGGTTCGCGTTCACGCTCCGTTCTTGAACTTCGAGGGGGATTTACATTTTACCAAAAAGAGAATCCACTGGTCTAGATGGGTTTCATAAGCCATTTACGAGGCCATCGATCTGTCAATAAGGTCACCTATGCTTGCCGGACTTCGTCCAATGTCCTTTTGTGGAACCTCCGCAAAAACAAGAACAAGGGCAATCGGTTCAAGGGAAACTGCCGCAGCAAAGAACTGCAGTCGATCCCACTCCCTGAGTTCCTGCCAATGAACCTCTTTCCATGTTCCAAAGTCTACAGATTTGTCTTTGGACTTTCACTTGGCTTGGAGCCAGTTTGGCAAACAAAAAGTTAGGTTACTTGGTTTGCCCTATCGCTGAGAAACCTCAGGCTGAGAATTGCAATGACCCCGAACGGAACCACGCCTCTTGGCTAGGTCTTCCAGTAGTGCCCTTCAATCCTTTTTGGGGGAGGGTTCCCCTACCAAAACAGACAGAAACAAATCGGGTACCTTTATTCCAAGCTCTCAAATCTGGAGGGCCCAGTAACCAAAATTTCTTGGTTTCTTCTTTCGCCCCATAGGTGAGACTTGGACTGACCTTGGGGATCCATTGGTTCGACCCCTGGGATTCCCGTCCGAGCCCCGCGAACTTTCCTTCGAGCTTTCGAAGGCCATGAAAGGCGACCTGGACAAGGCCATGGAGGTCTTGCGGAGCATGCAGGCCCGCTCCCCCCACCTTTGATCGAATGTCCGGAAAGGGGTTGTTTGTTTTCTAGTTTTTGCGGGTGGGGGGGGGGGGGGGCTCTTTTTTTTGTTGGCTTTTTGATTGTCCGGAAAGGAAGTGTCTTGTTTCTTCTTCTTTTTTAGGGGGGGGGGGGGGGGCGTCGTTTTTGGGGGCGACCCCCCAAAATGGTGTTGTTCCTCTTGGACTTGCCTTTAAAGCTTTCAACACAGGGGTCCTCCGATTTTGAGAAACCCCCATATGGTGGATGGACAAATGTTGCACTCGAGTATTCAGACGGGTTCATCCATCCCAACTCATGCATGGACTTGTGAACCACCCCTTTGCGAAGGCAACGTCAACATCCCTCTCTCGTATCTCCAGGGGCAAAGGACGCATTGGAACCTTAGTTGGGAATTCCCTGGTCAAGAGCTGAATCCGTTTCCGCATTGCCTACCGAAGAATGTGGCCGCACGTGTGTTTGGTCCAGTCGACCCCGTTTTAACCCCAGACACTCAGTGGTGCCCTTTCTATGTTGTTTTGAGTGTCCCTTGAAAAATCAACGACCGAAGAATGAGGGCCTTTTCTTCATATGGCGACTGAAGGTCATGTTTAGTGGGCCGGCAATTTCAAGATAGACAATATGAGTCCAAATGAATGAATCCTCATGTCAGCTGGTACTGGTTTTGTAATGAATATTTGGAAGAGGATCTTCGGACTTTAACTGTTTAGTTCAAGAAGCTCGGATTTTTCATGGGACCCACATGTTAAACTTTTTGCAGAGGGGTCAACAGCAACCAAGCGGTTTCCCTTGTACTGCCTGACTGCGAGTTGCGGATTTGGATTAGGGATCCGCCCCATTTTGAGCAACTTGGGTGACGCCGTTTGATCTTCTGGCTCAGGTGTTTTGAGCCTCCACTGATGGTTTACTCAACAGCCTCTTTGGTGCGGGCTGGAAAGTGAGAATTTTGGGTTGTTGAGTGGCAACCCCTGTACATGTTCTTCCTGCCATGTCCTAGTCCCCGGCTTCCTTTCCTGGCTCCGGCCAGCCTTGGAAGGCCAGTGGGGTCTACCATGATGCCATTGTCTACAACACCATCCTGGACGGCTGCAGCAAGCACCGGCGACCCGACTTGGTGGACAAGGTGCTCGACTCCATGGACAAGCACCGCATCAGCCCCACCAACTTCACGCTGGGCAGCTCGACTCGAAGAAGTCGTGTTTCGGAGCACCTTAAAACGCTTGTCCTTTTGGTTTCCCTTTAAACCGACCTGAAAAGGACAGCCTCAAAAAGCCAAACACACACGCGCACACATACACACAAACAACAAGCAAGCAAGCAAGCAAGCAAGCAAGCAAACAAGCAAGCAAACAAACAAACAAACAAACAAACAAGCGCACACACACACACACACGCACGCACGCACGCACGCACACACACACACACACACACTCGACATTGTGACTTACAGTACCAGAAAGAGTCTCGGAACCCTTTAAGCAGAACCCCTTTAAAGACGTTCTCAGAAGCTTTGTGGAGTTTGCCCTGACCTGGTATAGGGAGGGACCCATCTTGAGTAGCTCGCGCATTCCAATCCCTGCAATTTCTGCTCTAGTCATAAACATGTTTGAAGGCGAAACTGAGTGTTGCGCCGAGCTGGGAAAGAATCGCTACTCGCACGCCTTTAAGCCGCCGAATCCGGCATGTTGTTTTGCAGGCTCCAGTCTTATAATCCGCTTTTATCATAACCCCTTAATGCTGATCACTTGTAATGACACATCCGCATTGAACCTTGGCTTGGTTGTGGGCTGGAGACAGGACATTTGCACCAAGCAGATCCAGATTGCAAGCCCTTTTCAAGCCAACGGCTTGGCTCGCGTTTGCTCGTCACCTAGGCATCTTGGTGAAGTTCTACAGCCGCCAGAAGCAGCTGGACAAGGCCTTCCAATGCATGAGCCATGGCGAAAGAAGTCATTTCGCCGAGTAGTTCGAAAGGGAAAGCGCCGGAAAGAAAAAACAAATCTCCGGTCCCGGAGTTCCGGGACTCGGACGTCAAACTCCTGGGGAAGGCATGGTTTGCTTGGTACACAAACAGTGTGGCTATTTGTTTTGGCCAAGCCACTCTGGAAGTGAGGCATTCTTGGCAGGTTTGGAGGTGAGATCTGCTACTGGGGATCTTGGTTGACTTGGTTCGGGGGGTTGTCCCTTTGTGGGCATCGTCTCCTTTTTGCGGGCGACACCCGGCCTTTAACAAGATGCTGGCTTATGACTGTGGAAAGGGAGTGAGGTTTCATCTACGAGGCGTTCTCGGGAACCAAGAGTTGCCATAGTCGAATCGTCCAACTCTGGGAGCTGTTTAAGCCCAAACTGACTGTGAATTGATTTGAGTAAAGGGCTAAGTACTGAATTTGACTAGGTCCCCCAGTGCCCTTTTACCCTTTTTGGGGGAGGGTTCCCCTACTAAAATAGACTACAGAAAAAAAAAGGTACCCTAATTCTAACCTCTCGACTGGAGGACCTAGTTGATGAACAGGTCAGTTCACCAAGCGGGATCGCCCAAGCGAATACCTGACTCCCTCATTTGCTCCAGAAAGCTCAGAGCCTTTCCAAAAGAGCTCCAGAAGACTGTTGGAGGGGGACTCTTTGGTTTGTTGGCAAAGAGTTGAACCGCACCGGGAACCTATCAACCGTTCGGCCAACCCCCTCACAGCTATCGTTGTTGTTTCCTTTTATTTGGTTCTTTTTTCATTGCCCAACCCTGGTGACACGCCTCCAAGAAAATCCTCATCCCTGAAACTTGAACAAAACGGGGGGAGCTTCCTGAAACTGGGAAATGACTCTTTTGGTTGGCTTCCCCCCAGGACCAACTTTTACCGTTTCTTTTTTTGGGGAGGGTTCCCCTACTGAAACAAACTACAGAAAAAAGGGTACCCTTATTCTAACCTCTCTACTGGAGGACCTAGGTTTGTAGGAAAACATCGTGCCAAGGAGCAGCTTGCCCAAGCGCGGGAACTTCGTGCCCAACTGCCAAGTCTGGTCCTGCCTCATGGGCGCCTGCCTGCTGAACGGCTCCCCGAACAAGGCAGAGGGATGGGGCCCGGGGAAGTTTTGGAGGGTTACCCGCCCCTAGGCGAGTCAACATGGAAGTTCCCGGACGGATCCCAAAATGGAAGTCTTGGTTCCAACAAGTGTGTCATCAAGTGCAGGCCCTTTATGGCATCCGCGGTGAGAGGCTGACACTTCGGCTTCTTCGAAGCGCAAAAAGGGGCCACATGTTTGACAACACCCCGAAAATTGCAACTTATTACTTTTGCTGTTTGGAGCAGAATGTGAAAACGCAACTTTTGGAGCAGGCGCCGACATGCGTGAGCTGTTTTCCAAGGTCGAGGGTGCATGTCCGCGCGTTTCCACATGGCTTCAAGGGGCAGAACAAGAGCCGTGGAGAGCTGCACAATGGCAGTGGGTTGGGCCAAGCAAAGGTGCTGTGTTTCTAGTTTCGAAGGAAATTTTGACCGGTTTCTGGTGGGATTTGGGGAATTCGATTGGTGTTTTAAGGGGGGAAACCCGAAGAGGGCAATTTTAGTAGGGGATTCTACGACCCGGCCGAAAAGGAATTACAGCAAGGCCCATATATAAACCATTGCAACCTGAAACTCAACGAAGCAAACAATTAAAAAAAAAACTACCTTCTGTGACTGGACCTAGCTCTAATCATGGAACTGTGCTGGTGGAAGCCATTGTCCGCGCATACCTTTGGTTTGGCCTTTGGAGTGGCCGTCCGTTGACCCAATCAGATCTGATCCAAAAAGGGTAGCAATTCAGTGGGTGCGCCGTTTTTTGGAGGGTACCCTTTGTTCGTTGGGTTTTTAGGGACCCAAAAAACAAAACCGACATATTTTGTGCGGGCGTACTCCGAAAGCCCTGCTTGGACAAAATTGGGGCTCCTTTTGCAGGGATCCTTCTCTGGGTGATACCGCTGGGGACATGAGTCATCAAAGAGAACGCTGGCTGAGACAATGCATCGAGTTTCAAGAATCGAAGCTATGTTTTGTAAAACAGAGCCATGTGACCATACCTTTTTGCAGGTGTCTCTAGCAAGAATGTTGAGAGGGTTTCGTTTTTTATTCCCATTCGAGGACCTTTTTCCCCTGCAACCAATCTGGGCCATCCCAAACCCACAAAACTGTGGGTGTTTCCCTTTTCTTGGCCATCCGAAACCCAATTTCCCTTGTTTCCTTTTCCCAAACAGCATGGCCCATGAGAATTTGAGCTTGTCAGTAGTGCCCTTTTACACTTTTGGGGGGGAGGGGTCACCTGCTATAATAGACTGCACAAAAAAGGGTACCCTTATTCGAACCCCTCTACTGCAGGACCTAGGTGGGTTCCCTGGTTTTTGTTTCAACCCCCCCACCCAGCCCCCCCCTTGGCCATGGGAGGCCTTGCACGTCTTCCGCGACATGCGCGCCGCGGGGCAGAGCGCAGACACCCGCGCCTGCACGTCCCTGGTCTCGGGCTTGGTGCGTATGGGACAGCTCAAGGAGGCCGTCCAGGCGACGCGACTGCGGTGCGGAGCAGGGTTGTGGATCACTTGGGGTTTATCCAACCTAGGTCCCCCAGCTAGGTGCCCGTTTGCCCTTTTTTGGGGGGAGGGTTCCCCTACTAAAGTAGACTACACCTCTCCACTGGAGGACCTAGACAACATGGGGTCCGAGCCTGGCTGTGGATCTCTTGCCCGGCTCATGCACGGTTATAGTGGCGTGCAATTCACATGTCCCCAAACGCGGTGGGACTGGTCAGCGGGTTTTTTCATTTCGAGTAGTTGAACCTTAAACTGACAATAGCTGGATCGCCCCTGGACTCGGTTTTGCGCAAATGGCACCTCCCCACACGAACATTTAGTTGGCTAGGGAAACCAGAAGGCAAACCACCATCTTTCATCTATACATATATATATATATATACAAGCATACTTTTTGTTCACTGATTGATTTTTTGTTTTACTTGTTGGTTTGTTTGTATATGTGTTTCTTTATGTATTTTTGGGGCGTCCTGTCTTGACACATACCCATAGGCCCTAGTTGAAGCTTGCCCTGCGTCCTGAAATCAACCGCCAGGTGGTGGATGAGGTCTGCCAGGGCCGGTGCAGCGTGGATCAGGATGGGGCCGTGCCATTGGACCAGCCGAAAGTTGAAGCTGTTCGAATTGGTTCACTACGTCCCCCAGCAATTGGTGCCCTTTCTCACCCAACTCTTTTGGTTGGGAGGGTTCCCCTACTAAAATAGACTACAGAAAAAGGAGAAAGGAGAAAAAAGGTACCAACTGATTCTAACCTCTCTACTGTGGACCTAGTTGCAGGGAAACAAAAGAGAAAGCCGAGGAAGTCATCAATTTCGGGATGCATGTATTGTTTTTTCTTGTTGGACCCTTTCATGAATAAAGAAGGAAAGGAAGTTGTGTGGGCTTTTGAAGGGAAACCGGAAGCCGAGAAAGGACACTTGTTGTAAGTTGGATTTTTCATGGGGTGAAATCAGTGCGTCCTGATTCATGTCCAAGCACGGTGGTTTAAGGATCCAAGGGCCAGCATGGGTTGTGTCGAAACTGGGACTTGGAGAGTGAAATGTTTGACACACCAAAACATGTCCTGACCGACCAAGACAAAGGGACGCAACTTCCACCCGAAAAGCCCAGCACGCCAAGAAAGGAGGACCATCGCGCCGAAGCCGGAAAGTCTTCACATCCCGGAATTCTGCGGTTTTCGTTTGACCCGGATAAGCGGACTTGAGTCACTTTAGAGGTTTGGACCATTTTGGGGGTAAATCCAAAGTTTGCTATCTTGTTTGGGCCACCCACCGGCGTTCCTCGCGCGCCTTTCGAGCGCGCGTGATGCGTGCGAGGACTGCCTGGAGAGTCTGCTGGCGGCCTTGGCGCAGAAAGGCCTCCGCGAGGAGCTGGTTGTTGGACACATTTTCACATTTTTGGCTGATTGTGGTTGAGTGGTTGAAATCCCCCACTTAGTGGTTGAGTGGTTGAAATCCCCTTCCATGTTTTTCGCTAACTTGGTTTGCTCCTTTTGCTTAACCGCCAAGGGAACAAATTCGCAAATTTGTTTGGTTCTCTCTTGGTTTCCGCTCCTTTTGCTAAATGTGTTTCATTTTTTGCTCCCCTAACGTTTACCCAGGAGGTGGCCAAGCCCTTGCTGGATCGCCTCAGGAAGGCCCAGGCCACCGGCAAGTAGAAGCCGGCAATCGACGTTGGTAGCCTTTTGCCGGGGTGTTTCGAAGGAAAACCAAAGGGAAACCAAAGGGAAAGAGCCATTCGACGCTGGTGCGTTTTGTTTGGGGTTTAGGAAAAATAACAATTATTTGAAGGTGTTTTTTTTGGAGTTGGTAACCGTGCTTGCGGGGTGGGTTGTTGAGGGCAACCGAAACGAACATCTAGTATGGATGTGAAAAATCGTGGGTGTGTCGTATTTTTTCTCACTCCCTGAGTTCCGCAACTCGGACTTCAAACTGTTTGAGACTTTTTTTAATTGGTACTTGTACCCTTCTTCGGTTTTAAAGGGAACGATTCGACCCAACTGGCGAAAGGAATAGGGGTGTGGTTCCTTTTCAGGTTGATACCAGAATTCGGTGGGTTTCAAAGGGGAATCACAAGGAAAACCACCCATGTGGATGTTTGATGCCCGTGTTTTGGGGGATACGTTTTAGAGGGAAACCGAAAGGAGAACTACCATGCTGTGTGCCTGTGGTTCGGCCTGCGGGGATTGGCTTCCTTTTGAACCAAAAGGCGAAGCCCTTTCTCAGGAATGGGCTGGTTTTCCAGACAAGTGTGTGTGTGTGTAGTATTCGTGTTCGAGTGTTTGTGGGCATTCCCTTGGCTCGGTTGGAGCCAGAAAGGCCTCGCCCTTTTGGGCTGAAGCAGTGGCCGTTTGGCCAATAGCGACCACTAGTCAAAACACCCTTGTTGGTTGGTCGATGACGTGGGATTTTCGAAGCACAGGGGATGGGAATCCCACTTTGGATCACAGAAATGGCTAGTGTTCTCCATATTTCCCTGTCTTGAAGCGGCGCAGATCCATTACCAGAATCTTGCCTTCTTGACCGTTTAACTTTGCTCGTGTTCCTTCATGCTCCCTATAAAAGTTGTTGTTCCTTTATTCGGGATCCAAGTCTGGTCTGAACGCTGATCATCCACAGCGGCTCTCTTTTTTTCGCAGTTCACATGAGTAAGCCGGGCTACAAAAAGTGTCCCATGTCGGTTGGACGGTTTTAAGGGGAATCCAAACTACCCCGCCCCCAGGTGGATCATGGCCTGCATCTTCCAGCAGCCCCCCTTCCTCGCTCGCCTGAAGTGAATCGACCAAAGAAACCGTTTGATTGTCCATTCTGCTTTGGCTCAAAGTCCCAAAACAAAGCACAGGGCAACCCTTTGAGAGCCGCGAAGAAGAAGAAGAAGAAGAAGAAGTCCCAAAGGTTCATCGCTTACTTCCAGGCCATTTGGGCTGGAACGAAGGATGGGAAGAGAACTCCCAAAGGGGCAATTTGGTTGGAACCCACCAGTAAACTGCAACATTTGAAGAGGACTAGGTCCCCCAGCAATTGGTGCCCTTTCTGACCAACTTGTTTGGGGGAGGGTTCCCCTAAAAATAGACTACAGAAAAAGGAAAAAAAAGTACCAACTTATTCTAACCTCTCTACAGGACTTAGAGGAACTCCAGGGACCCCTGTAGCGGCAAATGAACAACTGTTTGTTTCGGCCAATCCAGGCTCGACTTGTGAGTCTCTTTGCTTTGCTAGGTACCCATCAGCGGACGCCTCATGGCCGCCACGTTGCCATCCTCCGGGAATCGCCAGAAGTGAGACGTCAGAATCCCATGGCTTTTGAGAGATGGGCAACTCGCTACGTAAAGATAGCATTCCCATCGGGAGGTACTCTCTGTAAGGGAGTCGCTCTGAAATCCATAGACTCCAAAGCTCTGCTGGAGGCGAGCGCACCACCGCCGTGCGGGAAAAAGGTGATGTCGCGAGAGAGCTGCCTACTAAAACAAGCGACTTTTTGTTGTGCTTAATGTCGCGATGTGAGGAAGCCAGTGGGTTGTGTCCGTTTTTCTTGGGAACCCCACACATTGCTGATGTGCCTTTGTTCCACTCCAAAGGCCACAATGCGTTGCGGGCACCTTTCTTGGGAGTCATTGCGTCTTCTGCAGCCTCCAGAACCCAATGACAAGCGGAGACGGCCATTCTGAGCAACTACAAGCAGTATGACAGAGTACCAAGTATGTTTGCTGGCGTAATGAATCTGAAACAAACGACATCCACCAACACCTTCCGGAATCTGAAACGTTTGACTTGCAAATGCCCTAAAGTTGGATCAGTTCGTATGGTTCTGAAATCGTATGTTTGCCAGTACATTCGTAAGTGTGCTATTGCAAGTGGAAAGGAAGAGGTTTGCCATCTTGCCTAGGTCCCCCAGGAGTGCCCTTTTACCCTTTCTTTTTTGAGGGGAGATTCGGTTCCCCTACTAAAATAGACAAAAGAAAAAGAGAAAAAGAACAAAAGGTACCAACTTATTCTAACTCCTCTCAAATCTGGAGGACCTAGGTGGGTTCCCTGGTTTTTGTTCCATTGAAGGAGGACCTAGTTGCCATGTGTCTTCAGTCTTTCGCTTCTTGAGTCTCCATGGCAATGGCTCAGCAAAACTCCACCGGTCCAAGCCATCGGCTTTCGGTGCGCGGGAGTCCCTTTGAAATCCCCTTCATACAGTGACAGTAGCTATCACCCGACTTCATAATATATATATATATATACACGCTTACCTGCTGAGCTGGCAAGCTTGAAGCTGTTCGGCAGGCGTCCTCATCAAATTAAAGTCAAGGCCAAAAAGCCAGTCAACTCATGGGACCCTTTTGGGACCTAGAAGATCAAGTTCCTCAAGGGGCCCCGTTGCCCATTGCCACAGTGTGTGTTTTTTTTGTTGGTTTTTGTTTTTCCTCGGGAAGCGGATGTCCCATCAGAAGTTTGCTGATCTAGTTGGTGACCCCCAGAGCTCGCCATGCCCATGGCGCACTCTGGTACCACCACGGGGCATCTTCCTTGGTCCCAGCCATCCCTGTGGGGTACTAGTTCCCCCAGTAGTGCCCTTTTTTACCGTTTCTTTTTTGGGGGAGGGTTCCCCTACTAAAATAGACTACAGAAAAAAAGCACCAACTTATTCTAACCTCCCTACTGGAGGACCTAGGTTATACGTTTTTATTGCTTGAGGTTTAGTGGGAATTGCCACGAAACCGCTGACCAAAGGATCTTCGACTTTTGGCAGATCTGACAGCCCCTGTGTCCAGTCCTCCGAGGCCGGGCTCTGCTCCTTTGGAGATCACCGGTGATGACGCCGCTCGGTTTGAGAGATGGCGGTTGGACCGCACGGTTTGAGAGGCGGAGGGTGTGTGTTTTTTAAATTATTTATTTCCTCTGGGAAGTGGGAACCTCAAAACGGGGTACCCAAAAAAGTGGTGTCCACGAATATATTTGTGTTGTCTTATGTTAGTCTAGGGGCTGCTCTAGGGAGCTTGTCAAGGGAGAGCGATTCCACTAAGGTCACAGGGCGAAGCCCTGCTGAATGAAAAATCAGAGTGGTTTTTGCTTGGACTTTTCTCGCCTACACCCATCCAAGCAATAGAAGGATTCCCCATGTTGAGACGACCCATATACATCGTGGCTTGAGTAAATGGGAGGCGTGGCAAGCAAGTTTCGGGGTTGGGTATTTTAGATTGCAAAAATCGGGGAATCCCCTTTGAATGCGAAGTAGCCATGGGAATGCCCCTCTCTGGTATGACAGAAAAGGTCATTGTCCACCGCCCTGGTTCTGGTTGGTTACCGTGGGGTCCTCAAACTGAAGGACAAAGGATTCTGCATTTAGTGCTTGGTTATGCCAATCAAGCTACAAAGCTTGCTGTTTGGATCAATCTTTGTCAGAAGCAATTAGAACCCTTTCAGGTTGTAGTGTTCTCAAGGAGTGCGAAGGGTGCAAGGGGTGAAAGTGATGCTCAAAACGACTGCCAAGGAAGCACCGCGACGGCTCACAGGTTTACGGAACAAGTTGGGCAAAATGAACCCGCAAGCACGCATAGATGGTTGTCGTTAGGACACATTTTCCCATTTTTGCTTGTTGTGGTTTAGTGGTTGAAATCACTGTTTGCTCCCCTTCCAACGTCAACCAAGCATAGATGAGATGATATCTGAAATGGCTAGATGTTCCTGCCACTTGCTGATCTCCCCCGGACTCGCCCCACCCGTTTCAAAACTTGAAGGGAAAGCCACCCGCCTCCCCAGTGAAGCATCAACTCGGCCTAGGTGCCAACTTTCTCCCCGTTTCCTTTTCAGGGGAAGGTTCCCCTACTGAAATAGACTACAGAAAAAAGGGTACCAACTTATTCTAACCTCTCTACTGGAGGACCTAGTCAGCGTCTACGGGCGTTCCAATGGCCAAGCGCATCCGCTCAGGTGCTGGCGCTCTTCATTCTCGTCATCTACAGGAGCGGTTGGGCGTGCCGAAGACGGGCGCGGGCGAAGTGGAATCTGAGCTTCTGCGGATTGGCCTACTGATGGCCCCACAAGGCCGCTGTCTTTGTGCTGGTTGGAAGGATGAAAACATTGCAGTGATAATCAGATATAATCAGCCTCATGGACGTTCATGAGTCAGCAAGTCTTTGTGTGAGTGGTGTGTGTCGGAATTCCTTTCCTCCATCGGCAACACCGGAGCAATAGCTAGGGGGCCCATTCATTGGGGGTCAACATTAGAGTGTGTCAGATATGTCATGCCGCTGGATGGCAGAAGCGACATTTAGGTAGCAAGCTCCATCATGTTGACCATCATGTGACCAACCAATTCAATCTGGGCAAGGCAGACCCGGACGGTACTGTAGTAGTGGCTCAGCGCGCTGGCCAATTGCATGACCAAACCAGTCGAAAACTGGTCACCTTGCGCATAGGGACTCGGGTGCTGATGACAACTGGGGGTTGCACACCTTATGCCGTTTACAAGCATCTCGTTTTGCAAGGCGTCCAATGCCAAGCAATGTTGTCCAAACAAGGGCAGTTCTTCAAGTCAGCCACTGTTTCTGGTATGTGTTTTGCTCCTTTTCAAGCATGTGGGGCAACGCCCGGCGTTTTGCCGTGAGCTGCGCCCAGTCTGGGGGATGACTCCCGCGAATGTCCGCAGGAGTCAGGTGAAAAGCTTCTTGGCGCATGTTTGCCATGTGGAGATGTACATCCAGGGCCTTGCCAGCAGGCGGGCGATGAATTGCCATTTCACGTGAGGTGGGAGGAGTCAGGAACATGTTGACCCCATATTAATCAACCCCTGTTTATGAATAGGGGGGTGGTCCCCTCCAAAACGCCACTAAACGCAGGGACACCCCCAGGGGTTGATTAATAAGGGGTCAACATTACATTTTGCGCCCTGAAAAGGTGTTCAACATGGATGCATGCATGCATGGATGTACAGATGGTTCATGGATGCAGGGTGGTTTGTGGATGCATGGTCCATTGATGCATGGAACATGAATAGATGGATGGATGGATGGATGGATGGATGGATGGATGGATGGATGGATGGACGGACGGATGGCTGGCTGGACGGACGGACGGATGGATGGATGGATGGATGGATGGATGGAGCTTAGTACAATCCTTCCGTGAAATCACATTTTGCGGCTGGCCAGCAAAAGGTCAAGACAGCGGGGCATTCTCAAGAGGCTCCCGGTAGCCGTTCTCGACTGTGAACCCTCATGCTGGTACTAAGCCACACATGTGAATGGCAGGGTGAATCCAATCGATTTGGGTGTTGATCCATACCTTCGCTTCGATTTGGGGTAGGTGCACCACCCATTTTAGTCTAATTTCATGGGGATTGGGATGTTCACTGGGGGTACGGAAATTTGATCCATACGGTGGATTCCCTAAATATTGCAAGTAAGTCAACCACAAACCATGGGAGTTTACAGGGTTTCCTTTGTTCCCTTGCAATATTTAGGGCATCAGCCGTACCAATCCAAAAACGGTTTTCACCCACCAGGGCCCTTGGCCAAATTTCCGCCTGGGCAAGGGCCCAACAGCTTGAGACCGTCCGATTTGGAGAGACCGTATCTCGCCCTTCGCGTCGGACGCGAAGGTGCGGCGGCAGCGACGCGGCGCGCTTTGAGGAGGCGGGCTACGCAGTGTCCGCGCTGCAGGCGGAATCCGAATCGAGCGGAATCCGAATCGAAGGTCGGGTGTCCTATGGGATGAGGTAGCTGGTGTACATATCTGGCATACGTATATAATTATGTATATATGCATATATATATATATGTCTATAGTACATTTGTATATGTATATATAAATATCAATATGTACATATATACATCTGCCTTTTTGTATGGCTAGTAGGTGACATATTGGTGTTTGGCTCAAGATCAGAAGACCCATTCCTCCAGATGGTTGGGTTCCTTTGGCAGCCAAAGGGGGTCCTCCACTAAGCACCGATATTATATATATGACATGCCTGACATGCCTGTTTTGATGGGAGGCAGGCGGATTTGGGGGTAAGATGAGCGCTGCCTTTGGCTCCTTTCTTGGAGATCCCTGCATGTTACATGGTATGCGCCCATGAACCTCATATAGGCATGGGCCATACCCTATGCCTCCATTTTGGGGCGGATGAACACGCATGTACCAGTTTTTTGATGTTCACCAGGGGTACAGGGTTTTGACCCACAGCCATATTGGATCCGATGCAGAGGATAAAAGTCACAACGCGGGCAATTGAAGCCTACAACGCAGCTACGCTATTGTGCCGCTTCCTCCGTCGGCACAGCAAGCGGATACGAATCTGACAATGAGGACGTCTCTGCCAGATTTCCGGAAGAGCATCTCGCCCATGGCAACTGAGAACAATTAGCCAAAACGGACACACGTGCCCAGTGATGCGCGACAAATCAACCCAGCTTACCTCTCGGTGTTTTTCGGCGCGCCGCTGCAAAAATGACGCAGCGGCGCGCAAAGAT